TGTAGTGTGCTTCAAATCACATCAATGCAATAACATTCTTTAAAGTTTTCTACGTGTTTTGAAGCGAGTTGTGCACCGATGGAGCTGTGTGAGATGCAATAGTAGTCAACAGGAGCAGTGGTATCACCATTCATGTGATTGCTAACATCGGGGCGATTGGACCCCATTGTACAAATTTTTAGGAATAATAATAATAAATCTTTCATTTGATATATCAAGTTAAAAACATCTCAAAGCATTTCATCAAGTTTGTCTGTAAAGTACAGTGACTGTGTATTTCTAAGTGAATGCAGTAGTCATATCCCACAAACAATCACAACATTATTGGCCATTTTTTATTGGCGATTGTCGGCCAGGACACAGGGTGTAACTCCCTTCTCTTTTCGACTAGTGACATAGGATCTATAACATCTATCTGAATAGGCAGACTGGACTTTAGTTTAACATTTGTATTTGTATGCCTACAAATATAGTACTCCCTTTAGATACACCTTTATTACCGAACATCCATCTATCATGTTCTTTGTCAGCAAGTCTCCTGTAAGAAGAGATCATTTATATGATGATATGGTGTTCCCTTTTGTGGAGTCAGTGTTGTTTGATAGCACAGTATACAATACAAAATTACATTTGTAAAGCGTATTTCATGTTGGGAGGACGACCCAAGGTGCTGTATAAACTAGATGGTCACAAGAGGGCAATATTCAATAGAGAAATAGATACGGAGACATCAGGGTTTAATTTGTGGGTTTGCTAAAAGGGCTTTAAGGAGCTGTGTATTTTGTGTTGTACGTGACAATGTGCAAACTGCACAAGAAAAAGAGGTAATACAACCACTGCCAAAGTATCAAATTTATTTTAGGAATAGAACCTTTAAGCTGCAAGTTGATGTTATATTTAATACCTTACTGTGTGTGCACCAAGTAATGGATTTCAGCAGAATCTTTGTGAATGCATCCCATTTATAATTAGGGAGGGCAAAATGCAAAAGTAAAACTGAGCAGTAAAGCTATGTGAGCACAATTATTGACTGATGCTGCATTTGAGTGCAACATTGTGGAGTCCTGCAGTGTAGTGGTTAGAGCACCTGCTTCGCAAGCGAAAGGACCCGATTTTGTTCAATCTGTTCGATTCCCGGGCGGAGTGAAACTGAGGCAACTTTCTTACTCCACACGCCTCTGTTTAACTAGCAGTGAATAGGAACCCGGTTGTTAGATGATTGGCAGATTGCTACTGGGGATAATGATTCAAAAAAGATTGGTCACTCAATCCATGACTGTTTGTGGGACATTACTATGTGCAATTGGCAGCTATGATTCACCCACAAATTATACAGTCAATTCACTTTACAGTATATTCTGTGAAGTGCTTTGAGACATCTCAATGATGTGATAAAGTGTTATATCAAATGCAAGGATTATTATTATTACATACGCTTACAAAAACTGAATCACAACACTCCACTTATGCAGAACAACTATCCACTGCGACTAGCAACAAAATAATAGTTATAACACTGAAAGAGGAAGACATTTATTTCTCTGTATAGGATATGATATTCTGGGTCTGCTTTGGAGTCATTTATTTACTATAAACACAAATTATATGAACAATCTAGTCTTAGTAATTGAAGTAACAGTATCGAAATTTGCTGATGAAACTGAATGGAGGAGTGGACAATTATGATGAGGTTTATTGACTCAAGAAGGACAGATACAAAACTAGTAAGGTGGGCAGGTAAGGGGCAGATGCAGTTCAATGTTGCAATATATGCTGTGGTACATTTTAGTAGTAGGAAGAGGGAAAGGAAATGTACCTTAAATTGTCATGGAAAAAACAAATCTATTCATCAGATTTATATCCAGAAATAGCAAAGCAAGAAGGTAATATTAAAATTGTACAAGGCCTTAGGTCACAATCATATTGTGAACAGTTCCCATTCTCGGAAGAAAATAAAAAGTAAAGAAGTGAAGAGTCTATTGTACCAATAGATTTCTTTGCAATCATAGATGATGAGTTTCAGTTATGAAAAAACAGGAGGTTAAAGGGTGATTTAATAAAGGTTTTCAAGATTATGAAGGATTGTGACAAGTTACAAAAAATACAAAAAAGTTGCACAGAATAACACATAAGTTACACTGGTTGAATAACTAAAGGCCACAAATTTAAGATAATGTTGAAATAATTAAAGAGATTAGAAAACATTTCCTTACATGGTGGTTGAAATGTGCAATTATCTGGCACAAACCATGTTGAAGCAGTCCATAAATTATTTTCAAGATGTTGACTGTAAGTTGGTCAATCTTATAGTTTACTTACTTTAAATAAATTCCCTGCTGTTTCAATGAAACAAAACTATTAATTATCAGCTTTCAAACACCAAGATAATGAAGCTCACAGAGACAGGTATTTATTTTTTAATGATATCTTTTATATAGGAACGTGCATGTTACAGAAAGATAACATTACCAATCTGGGAAACAGTTTGTTCTTAACAATTGTATCTCTGGAGGCTGTTTCAACGTTCCACTGCTTGGGACCCAATATTTAAAAATCATTTTCCTTTGATCTTGTCCATAGTCCTCCCCTTTCCAATCAATCACTTTCTTTCAATCGTATCATAAAAGTCACCCTCCTTTTCCACTCCACTCCATCATAAACCACATATTAAAACATCCCTTTGTCTTCCTGACCTCATTAATAAAGCAAGAAATAAAAAAGAGATTAGATAAGAAACATCTCTTTCTAAACATGATCTACTTTCCTGAGGTTAATTCTATCATAAACCACCATTTACCACTTTGTTTATCCATCGCTCACTTAAACATATGTATTACATTCTTTCTTGTCATAAACATGGACAACCAGGGAAGAATGACACATACCGATCACTTAACTTGTCAAAACATGCTGACTTGAAACACAACACATGGAAAAAACTGTTTACATCAAAGATTTACACAAAGTTTTCTTTAATAAACCTTCACTTAAACAGAAATAAAGAAGTTAAAAAAACTTCTATTAGTAAAACACATAAAAACAGAATACTAATTTTATCAAAATGAAAAAAGAGTTAAAATACTGAAATACAATTATATAATTTCTATCTAACAAAGCTTAACAAGAACACACATACATAATACCCTATGCATTATTCTTTAAAAATAATTCATCCAGAATGCTTCAAATGTGAATATGAGAGTATGGAGTGTGAGTGTGAAATTGCGATTAGATCAGGTGACCAACAATGATCAGAGATAACCATCAGCACAGAAGTGATAGATTGAATGGTCTGGTTTCTGTGATGTAACATTGTAAGATTTTATGATACGCAACAAACAGTAACAACAGTAACTTGCATTTATATATTTTTTTGTTTATGGTGGAGCTGGGGAGACCAACGAGGAGGGCATTAGAATAGTCCAGCCGGGAAGTGAGGAAGGGATGGACGAGAGTTTTGTCAGTCGTGAGGTATGGACGGAGGCAGGCAATATGACAGAGGTGGAAAGATGCGGTCCTGGGCAGGGAACGAATGTGGGGTAGAAAAGAAAACTGGGGATTGAACCTGACGCCTAAATTGAGCACAGGTACTCAGATTCTGAAGCAGATCCTGTGCAGGTGGAGGAGTTCAGACCCTCAAGAGAGAAGACATTGATGGGAGCCAAAAAGTATGCCTTCCTTCTTGCCGACCTTCAGCTGCAGGAAATTTGCGCTCATCCAGGCCTTGACATCCATCAAACAAGCTGACAGGACATCAGGGGACTGGGAGTCGCAGCTGGAGGAGGAGAAGTAGATTTGGGTGTCATCTGCATACATGTGGAAGTTAACCCCATGTCTTTGCATGACATCACTGAGAGGGAGCATGTAGATGAGGAAAAGAAGGGGGCCAAGGATGGAGACTTGTTGTACCTCACAGGTAGTGAGAAACTTTTATCCAGAGGTGAGAGGAAGAAACTCAGCCAGCCTGACAACTGGCTGTGGTGAGAGGAAAAACCATTGGGAAACAAAGGAAGTCGTGTCGGCCATCAAGTCCTGGATGAGAGCTAACTTCCCGCAATGGAACGTCAACAAGACCAAGGCCCTCCTGCTTGGCTCCCATCAGCACCTCCATACCTCGGGCTAACACCATCTTTCTCAATGGATGCACTCTACATCTCACGGAGCCAATACGGAACCAATACGGAGCCAATACAGAACCAATATGGAACCTCGGCATTCTGTTCGACCCTCAACTGTTCTTTACATTCCACATCATGCCTTGACCCGCTCCGTCTTTTCCCTCCTCTGCAGCATCGCTCAACTCCGCCACTGTCTCATGCCGAGACCTTCATACATGCATTCATAACATCCAGGCTTGACTACACAAACTCTCTACTTGTCGGCCTCCCCAATTCCTCCCTCCATAGGCTGCAGATCATCCAGAAGTCTATAGCCTGTGTCCTCCCCTTCACCAGGCTTCATGACCTTATCTCCCTCAGCTTCACCCAACTACACTGGCTTCCCATCACTCAGAGGATACAGTTCAAGATCCTGGTCCTCACTTTCAAATCCCTTCATGGCCTTGCTCCTAACTACCTCTGCGACCTCCTAATCCCTTACCATCCTGCCGCTCCTTCCGCTCAGGCTTGCTTCATGTCCCCCACTTCACCCACCCCACCATTGGCGGACGGCCCTTCACCAACACTGCTCCCATCCTCTGGAACTCCATCTCGCAGTCCCTGCACCTCATCCCCTCCCTTGCCTCCTTCAAAACCCATCTCAAGACCCTCCTCTTCTACTGTGCCTTCGGTCTCCCTCCTTCCCGCCCTGCCCTTCAACTCTCCCTGATCCCAACCCCCTGCTTGGATCCGAAACACTGATTGTCCAGTGCCTTGGGATGTCCTCCTGTTGTGAGAGGCGCTATACAAATGCAATGTTGTTGTTGTTGTCACATTTAATCTAATCACATATAAAGCTTACTGTAGTCAATTATTTATTTGCGATATGGGAAGTATGTTCATTCAAAGCTCATCAAGTGGTGCTTCTAGTGGGTGGGTTTTATAGTGCATTTTGAAGATGGGGAACCAAAAGAAGACCTGTAAGAAGAAATAAGGGAACACATATTATATAAACCTAATTTTTATTTAGATAACGGTATTTTATATGATATATTAAATCTCCAATAACAACCAACAAACTTCAGATTCCCTTAGTACTACTGTTACATTGGATTGAATTAGCATTTCAGAGTCCACCGGTGGCAGCTTGGCTCTGGATAAAGGTCTATTTAATAATGATGTTTTTAGATTAATTATATGTCAACTTATGATATTGACTATAATTTTCCATCCATAATTGTACTTAACTATTGATCATATTAGATTAATTATATTCAAAGAAGTTTTCCTTAATTAAATTCCTTCATGAGAATGCAGAATTAATTGCTGGAAGCTATGGTTGAAGCAAAAAATATTAACGTATTTAAGAGGAAACTTGATGTATACATGAGGGAGAAGGGAATAGAGTGGTATAAGAGATGGGACAAGAAGGATGGATGCTTGTGCGGAGTATTAATACTAGCATGGACAAGCTGGCTAAACAGCTTATTTTTGTGCTCTTTCATTCTATGTAGTTCTCTAAGTTTATGTATCATTTTACTTTAATTCATGCTGGAGCTGCTTTCTTCACCTGTCTGCCTATTGGCATGTTGATTGCCAGTTGTTGTACTATGCTAGCCTGGGTTTTATTGCCAGCTTGTGTGCCAAGGCCAACGTGAGTGTTATTGCTATCCTGTGTGCTATTGCCAAGCATGTGTGCCATTGATATGCCAACACACCACTGCCAAGTCTCCATTCCCACTGCCAATTTCATAAAGAGGTAAAGTGCCTGAAATTGGAAGGAAAAGTGTTAGCTTGAAGAAAATGTGCGGAATTAAAGGGAATTGTGAAGGAACATAGGCCACCTGGACCGATCTAACTCAAATATTCTATTGTAGTTGCTTCTCCGTTTTGGCGTACATGTGTAGTGAGTGCTCTTTGTCAACCTATAACTAGAACCCAATGCCTCCCATTTTGTGTGTTCAATGTACACTGCCTGGTGCAATCGTAGCACTCTCATCTTTCAGTCAGAAAGTTGTGAGTTTAAGCCCACATCGGGACTTGGAATCACATAGTCTAAGCTGACACTCTAAAGCAGTGCTGGGAGTACGTTTCATTGTTGGAGGTGCCGTCCTTTGGATGAGATGTTAAACCGATGTCCAATCTGCCTGTTCAGGTGGATGTTAAAGATCCCATGGCACTATTTGAAAAGAGAAGGGAGTTTCTCCCAGTATCCTGGCCAACAATTCCCCAAATAAAATTGGTCACTCACTCCATGGCTGTTTGTGGGACATTGCTGTGTGCAACAGGATGCTAAGGTTTGCCCACAATATATAGTCAACCATTTTACAATATATCCTGTGAAGCGCTTTGAGACATCTCAACAACCTGATAAAGCACTATATCACATGCAAAGTTTATTATTATTAACCATTATACTTCCAATGTACCTTTAGGTGTTATTTGTCCCATATTTGTAATCCTACAAACTTCACAGCACAAATTCTGCCACATCCTAATAAGAGTAAAGCTGGAGCCTAAATATACACTGATCATGTTTCAGATCCAAATGCTCCTTGTCTTAATAGCCACCGTTGTATTGCCATTATTCACCCTAATCTACTTCACGATGAAGCTAATCTGAGTGTATTAATGTACACTGGAGTTCTATACTCTAACAAAGCATACACATTCTAGTCACCATTAAATGCTCTCAACATTTTATTGGATCTGACTACAGGTCACTTCTCTGTTCTCAGTGCTCTTCCGGTGTTTGTTTTTCTCAGATTGGAACAGTCATTAATTCAGACTGTCACATCTAACCACCCACAATCTAAGTGAAAGATTGATCTGGACAGATGTTCACTGTACTGGGCGCTCTTTAAATGGACAGACTGTATTCCTGTATGGTTTATGCACACAGACAGGAATTCCATTCCTGTATGGTTTATGCACACAGCCAGGTGTCAGACTGGCTCAGTTGATAACACTCTTGCCTCTGAGTCAGAAGATTCAAAACCCATGTTAGGACTTTGAACACAAAATCTAGGCTGACACTCTAGTGCAGTACTGGGGAGCGCTGCATTGTTGAAGCTGCTGTCCTTATGATGATACATTAAATCGAGGTCCTGCCTTATTGTAAAATCTTTCACTTACATGTCAACTTGGTTTGAGCAATCATCAAACTTTATCAGAAATGATACAGTGCAGATGTGAAGAATCAAGGGATTCCAAATTGTGGTATTTCCTAAATGTGTTCACTGGGGAAAATTAATGAACACATTAGCGACTAGAAACCTTAAAACTTTCCCTTATTCGCTTATATACATTTGGGGATTGAATACCCCTTACTCCAGTTTGTATAAAATAGTTTCTCCTTCAGACTTTCTCCATTTTAACTTTGAATTTTTACTTTAAAAATTATTTTTAAATGTTAAAAAAGGTAACAAATGTGCAAGATTGGTGCTTTCTGTTGTGGATTGTACGTTTTCTATATCCTCACAAGCGTTTTGTAATTAATAACAATAAATACAAATTATTACATGTGATAGAGTGCCTTATCATGTCATTGAAATGCCTCAATGAATTTTACAAGATTTGTTGTAAACTAGAGTACATTTTTTAGACAAACACAAGACTCAATTTGCACAAGGTGATGCCCTGCAAACAGCCATGAAGTAAACAAACATTTTTTTCAGCCCCACCAGGACAAACTACCTTCTTTATTCGGATAGTGGAATGGCAACAGTTTCTCACTGAATTGAGAACAAAAAGCAGCCAAATTGACTGAGAAAAGCTCGAGGGAGAAACTTTTATCCAGAAGCGAGAGGAAGAAACTCAGCCAACCTGACACCTGGCTGTGGTGCATAAACCATACAAGAACAATCTATCCACTTAAAGAGAGCACAGGAGTAAACATCTCCTAAACCTCTTGTTAAAGATAAATTTAAAATACATGTTTTAGCCATAATTTCTGTACCATTCCATGGTTATGCCTGGGTACTAAGCCAATGAGGATCTGCATTGTTGTAATTTTACTTGAAGCGCTGTGGGCATAAGTGGAGCTAAGTGACATTTTGTTCATTCTACATATGAGCAGCAGAAGGAGGAATAGAACTCATAAATTGGTAAAAATTCTGTGCCTTTGCCCCCACACGTAGGTTGCTTTAATAATAATAATCCTTGCATTTGATATAGCGCTTTTCACATTGGGAGGACGTCCCAAAGCGCTTTGCAAGTGTGTGGGTGCATACTGACCCACAACAATAATAATAATCCTTGCATTTGATATAATGCCTTATCTTTATTATTATTATTATCAAGTCTTGTCTCAAGGCGTTTCACAGAATATAGTGTAAAGTGAATTGACTGTATATTTTGTGGGCGAAGCGCGGGAGCCAATTGCTCCCCGCAGTGTCCCACAAACAGTCGTGGATTGAGTGACCAAATTATTATTTTTTTGAAGGGATTATTACCCCAGAAAAGTGATATGCCAATCAACTAATAACCGGGTTCCTACTTACTGCTAAGTAAACAGAGGCGAGGGGTAAGAAAACTTGCCTAGTGTTTTGTCCTGCCCGGGAATCAAACCTATGTCCTCTCAATTGATTAACCAATACGCTACAGGACTCCAAAATTTCCCATCCCAGAGGTGAGAGCACATAACAACATAGGCAAATCAGACCCTGTTAATTTCAGAACAATGTAATTAATCTTATTTTTATATCTTCAAACATTACCGAGTTAGCCTGAGTGCTCAGTTTCTTCTCTCTGTTTTCCAGGTTTACTGACATTCTTTTCTGTAGCAATTTTTGGTGCAGGAACTGTACTCGGTCGCTCTCGGTGTCAGGGTAAAATGAGGCTAAAACCAGAACTTTCAATACTGTTAATTTAGCTGAAAATAATGTGACTAACATGAGGGCAGCAATTATTACAACAAGTGGGATCCATATCTCTGTAATTGATAGAGTCGGTCGAGGGATGCATTCACGTTTATACAAATGTGTTTCATATGAAAACATTTGTGCAGACATTTTCACAGGATTTTGAATTTCTATAGGAATATTAATGAATTTAAGCTGTACCTGCAAAAAAGTAAGGCAACAATTAGGTACATTTACAGTCCCAAGTTTAAGGGTGTATTGCAATAAAGAGTATGAAAATAAAAATAATACAATTCTAAGGTTAAGAAATAATTCTAAATAAACATAATAACGTAAGACAATGCCAATAATAATAATCCTTGCATTTGATATAGCGCTTTTCATGTCAGGAGGACATCCCAAAGCGCTTCATAGAACACACTGTAAAGTGAATTGACTGTATATTTGTGGGCGAACGCGGCAGCCAATTGCGCACAGCAATGTCCCACAAACAGTCGTAGATTGAAAATTACCAAATTATTATTGTTTTTGGTTTTGGAGGGATTATTATTAGGCTCTGTGTGGAGTAAGGAAACTTGCCCAAGGTTTCGCCCTCTGCCTGGAATTGAACTCAGGTCTCTCACTTGCAAAGCGAGTGCTCTAACCACTGAGCTACAGGACTCTGGAAGTTGTCTATGCTTTTTCTCCTATCTGTTCATTACAGAGATTTTGATTGTTCACTTCAAGGTTTTTTGTGGGACATTGCTGTGCGCTATTGATGTCCATGTAGCGGGGTCTCATATATGAATTCCAATTGAAGCTTGAAGCCTCCCTGAAACGGGATGCAAGTGACAAAGAGGTATCTGAGAGGCCTTTGTTATGACATGGAGTGTGGAAAGTGGCCTCTCATGGCTCATTCACAGAGGAATGTTCTAATTTGAATGAACTCCTCTGAAAACATTCAGGAAAGGCAGATTTATATTTTACAATGATCCCTCTCATAGAAATTTACAGTGCAGATGAAGGCCATTTGGCCCATTGAGTGCACCACCTTTCAGAGCAAGATGTTCCTTCAATCCCACTTCAAGCCTCTATCCTTCATATACATGTCCACATTCCTCTTGAAACCCACAATGGATTCTGCATGAATCCTAGACCACAGCATCCAAGGCATTTCAGGAGTTTGGATGCTAACATTGTTTAGACTTTGAGGGGGATTGTTTCAATATACAGTTTAACACCATTTGCTCAATACAGAATGGACTGTGTATTTAGGAATACTACAATTTTCACCCTAAAAAGTTTGAGTGCGTCTTACAACTTTCTTAATCCTAATTTATTTCCTAGTGCACATACATAAAGGAACAAGACTGGCTCTCAGATCTTTCTAATTCATATTTAAGACATTCTCAAAGTAAAATCATGACATTTTTAAATTGTCCCAGTAGAATGTGACTATATATCTATAGGCTGTACTTACGTCAGATTTCATGCTTATTGTTATGTTTATTGCTGGCAGAATTTCTAGCTGATTTCTTATTGAAGAAATAAAGATGTACAGTGCCCAATCAATCATTATGTTTGTTGCCCAAGCGCACAGATTAATAAAGATGGGAGTGAAAAATCTTGCCATTGTTTTCCATTCCCTTGCTGTCAACCACAGTGATGGGAATTCTATGATGTATTTTCTCTCTTTTTGAGTCAATGAGAGAAGATGAGGCTTCCCTTTTTCTTTCTGGGCTGCGTCGTATTTCAGAAACTGGTTTGTGATAAATACATTTTCAAATTTCATTTTGTTTAAATACCTTCTAATATAGAACCAAGTGGCTACCAGGATGAATAAAACACCAATTATGGCCAAAGTGTTTTTCCAAACGAGAAAGATTATATCAAACGACGATTTGATGTTATCCCCGAGACTCTTTAAGCGATGTTTCACTGTGCTCAGGTTTCTTTCGAAATCTTCATCTTCCACTCTGTAGTTCAACTCAAATTTATCTTCTAACTTCACAAATATATTTTTGGGGATTTTCAAAGCTTGTTCAGAAATCCACTTTATTACTTCACGGTACATTTCCATAATTCCTCTGATAGATGGAAGCATGTGCTCCAGGTAGCAGACTGCACTCTCTGCTAAGCCTTGTAAATTGGTGAAGATGTTCTGGGCACATTTAAGAAGCACCACACTGGTGCCGGCAGTAATCAGACCATTGCGGCCCTGTTGCGTTCCGCACGAGATGAGGAATATCAGAGTGATGCACCTGAGATATTTGGAAAGAAATAAAGCTGCGCCAGTAACAGCAGTGAAGGACCCAGAGATTGCCAGAGACACGGAATGGCTGCATTGCAATGCCCGCAAGCACAAATGAAGGATGCCTCCAGCTCCCAGTCCCATAATAAAGCATAGCGTGAGCAGGCACACAATGTTTTTCCAACCAACCTTTTGTTCCAAAAGCATCAATTTCCACAGGCCCGACCATATTTGACCAGCAGTCTTAAGCAGAGACATTTTTCTTTGGTAACTTCTACAATTGGAGAAACTGAAGTCAGATTAAAGACAAAATCAGAATTGTTAGTAACGATCAAATCTGTAAGCCTAAGCCATCATCTTTGATTCCCATTAAACAAGGTCACTGGTTTCAAAGCTTGAACAAACTTGCAGGTGCCACTTTATTGAATATTATTTCATAATGGCTCAAATGGTATCCATTATGTTGTAAAAAATGTTTTTTTTTGGCATCCATCATATACAAATTGAATTTTTACTATGATAATTTTGGCAAGTGTTTGGACATTCTAATAGGCACTAAAATAAATGTATTATTGTTTTGAAGTTATTCATTGGTAAATGGGAATTACATTAATAGTTTATGCTGATACTCTGGTGCAGTGCTTTGGGGACCATTGCATTTTCAGAGGTGCTGCCCTTCGGATGAAATGTTAAACCGAGGTTTCATTTGCCTGTTCAGGTGGACGTTAAAGAGAAGGGAGTTTCTCTTGATGTCCTGGCCAAAATCGCCAGATAATATTGATCATTTACTTTTTCGCTGTTTATCGAACATTGTTGTGTGCAAATTGACTGCATGTTTGTCTACAAATACATAGTCACTTCACTCAACAGCAAATCCTGTGAAGCACTTTGAAACATTTTAGCATAAGAGGTACTTCACCAAACACAAGGATTATTATTATTACAGATGATGGTTTTACACTGTTGGAGCTGTTCATGATTCTGTCTGAAGCACTTGATGAGAGAATAGTTTCTGCATTATTGTTTAAGTAATGTATGAATAGATCATCACAATAATCTCATTACTCAAGTGAGCAAGTTGCAGAGGCAGGCAGATGTTTCCAATTAGAAACATGATGAATGTTATCAAAGAATAAGAGATATCAGTTTATTCTGGCTTATATTTGGTTATACAGTCCAAATCACCTCAATGAAACCCACCACCTGCTGCCTCGACCCCCTCCCCAGCAACTTACTGGTCACCCAGCTCCCCCTCCTCTGCCCAGTACTGGCTGATGTCATCAACCAGTCCCTCTCCTCTGGATCAGTCTCCTCCTCCCTCAAAATGGCTGTCATCACCCCGCTCCTCAAAAAACCTTCCGAGAGATCCCTCAAACCCCAGCCACTATCGCCCTATTTCAAACCTGCCCTTCCTCGCAAAAGTCCTAGAACTCATTGTTGCCAATCAACTTCGCGCACACCTCTCCTCCCACTCCCTCTTCGAACCCCTCCAGTCCGCTTTCTGCCCTGCCCACAGTACAGAGACTGCGCCTGTGAAAGTCACAAATGACATCCTCTCTATCTGTGACAAGGGCTTCCTCTGCTTCCTTGTCCTCCTGGACCTCTCCGCTGCTTTCGACACGGTCAATCACGCCATCCTCCTCCACCATCTTTCCTCCATCATCCACCTCAGTGGGACCGCACTCACCTGGCTAGAGTCCTACTTCACGAATCACCAGCAGTACATCTGCACAAATGGCTTCTCCTCCCGCTCTCACCCGGTTATCTGTGGGGTACCCCAAGGATCCATCCGTGACTCCCTCCTCTTTCTGATCTACATGCTCCCTCTTGGGGATGTCATCCGCAGACATTGAGTACACTTCCACATGGATGCAGATGACACCCAACTCTATTTTTCACCTCACTTTGTGACCCTCTCTGCCTGCTTGTCAGACCTCAGGAGCTGGATGAGCACGAATTTCCTTCAGCTGAACGTTGACAAGATGGAAGCCATACTCTTTGGCTCTGGTCAATGTCTAAAATCACATGGTTCTCACCTCCTCAACCTACCCGACCTCCCACTAAAACTCTCTGAACTTGTACGCAACCTAGGCATCAGGTTCGACCCCCAATTATCCTTCCTCCCCCACATCCGGTCACTCACCAGCACCACTTTTTTGCACCTCCGACGCATCGCCCGTCTCCCCCAATACCTCACTCCAAAAGCCGCTGAAACCCTGGTCCATGCCTTTGTCACCTCTTGGCTGTTCAAATGCCCTCCTCGCCGGTCTCCCCTCCACTACCATCCATAAAATCCAGGTCATCCAAAACTCCCCGATCACCCCAGTCCTTGCCAGACTGCACTGGCTGCCTATCCCAGAGAGGATCGACTTCAAGATCCTCACTCTTGTCTTCAAATCCCTCCACTCCACTGCACCCCCCCTACCTCTCTGACCTCACTCCTCATAACAGTACCCGCTGTCTTCGCTCCACCAGGTCTGGCCTCCTTCTTACCCCCCGAATCCTCTGCTCCACCATCGGCGGCCCTGCCTTCAGCCACTATGCCCCGAGACTCTGGAATTCCCTTCCTCACTCCCTTCACCTCGCTCCCTGTCTTCCCACTTTCAGGTCTCTGCTGAAGACCTTTCTTTTCGACCGCGCCTTTGGTCACCTTCCTCCCCCTCCCCCTGGCTCGGCATCGGGATCCATTACTGTAAAGTGCTCTGAGACACCGTCCAGCGTGGAGGGCGCTATATAAATCCAAGTTGTTGTTGTTGTTATTCTACTTTGAGTTAATACGTTGGAAGTCAAATGCAATTTTTGTAACGTAATATCACAATTAGTGACACTGGATAAAAAAAATTGGGTACCAAATCCACGACTGTTTGTGGGACACCGCTGCGTGCAATTGGCTGCCACGTTTCTCCCACAAAATATAGAATCAATTCACTTTACAGTATATTCTGTGAAGCATTTTGAGACGTCTTGAAGACAAAGCCCTATATCAAATGCAAGGATTATTATCATTATTATAACCAAGGCATAGTGCTAACCTACAGGAACTACACACTGCCCTGCTGGAGCTGAGCTCCCAGATGTTGGCAAGAGATGTATCTGTTCACCGGCAAAAACTGATGCTTGCTATTTGTGACTTCTTGTTATAAATATCATATTTCAGACCCTAGTAGTAACCAAAATAAAAAGAATGCAGTTTGTGGCAATCATTGGTAGCCAAATGCCACTATTGGAGAAATTGCATGTGGTGGAACAAGAGATGGTCAGGGTGAGCAGGGAAGCAGTAGATCACACCTCTGATATTCTGTGTGGAGACTTTAATGATGCCTCTTGTTGGCAATGCATCGCAATCTTTCTTTTCTTATCTGCAGGCTCTGCATTTCTGCTTCCCAACGTGCTCGGGCTCTTTGTTCTATCCTGAAGGCATTTGAATCCCTTTTCCCTTCTGCTGGGCTAAAGATCCACGGACACAAATTACCCTTAAGCAATTCGCCCAAGTAAATATTATTCATGTGCGAGCTTTGACAGTGAGTGTTGACAAGCTATTCGACTGAGAGGAATCACTGTTGAGCCAAATAGTATCACCCATTTTCTAGTATGGGCTGTTGGCTAGCATTCAGAGTTGCGGTTCTGGTTTATTTTCTGCTTGCTATATTAGGGCACTACAGTTAATCAGTAGTACCATCTGACTGCTGTTGTTGAGATCGGCTAACTCAGCAGAGAACAGTGATCAAATCTAATCACTTCCATCCTGTATGAATAAACTTCTGAGCCATAGGGAAAAGCTCAGAGTTGCAACTAGAACAACTGGTACAGAAAAAGCAAATTCAGATTTATCAGAAGATGCACAGTGGAAGATAAATGGGTACAGGAAGTGATATAAATTGTTCTTGTAAAGTTTTCTTACATTATTTAATGCACATTTTCTTTATTTTACTTCCTTAGTGTGTTTTCGTACATTCACAAGCTCATCAGTTTTCCATGTCAAACTGTATGCTGGGGTACTGCTAGAGTCTAAATGGCTAAAATTGCATAGCTGCCGTAGATACCACTGTCTGGCAAACTTTCCCGCTGTTTGTCCAGCTAGGACCACCATACCCCTTAGGGTTTTGGCTTGCAGGGTTAACAGGAGCTGAATAGAATGACTCCCTGTCCCCAGTGACTGGTATCCTTTCCAAGTCTTGCCAATGAGTCAGGCTGGCGGTGCTGCCATCTGCAGTGCCCTGGAATACTGCGGACCCATCTCGCTCAGGAATCGAACCCCCAAGTCCGCCACAGAGGGCTGACTTGATTTCGACATTCTGTTGCCAAACATGTCACCTTGGAAGCAGTTCAGCTCCAAGGAAACTATGCTTCCCTTCCCCTAAGGAGGATAGTCACTGGTTGGACATTTGATATCCAACAAGCTCAGTGTATGTTCACTCAGTGAAAGCTCACAACAACAACAACTTGCATTTATATAGCGCCCTTCACACGGGGCAACGTCCCGGAGCGCTTGACAGTGGTGGAGTCTGACACCAAGCCAGGGGGAGAGGGAGGGGTGAGGTGACTGTAAGCACGATCAAAAAGGAAGATATGTAGGGGTGATGACTTGAAAGTTGAGATGGTGCAGGAAAGGCAGAAGAATTGAGGGGGAGAGTTCCAGAGTTTTGGGCTTAGTAGCTGAAGGTGGGGATGGGATCGAGGGAGCAGGTGGTGGGTTTACGTTCGCTTAAACCCACACTTGTTGGATGTTGAACTGTTTCTGTAGTTTGCTCTGTTACAGTGCCATCTATTTGTTGAACTTTTATAATGAAATTTGAAACCAAAGCAACATTTCTGGTGTTTCGTGATGGTTTATCATTGCTAAGCAGGACATGCCATTTAGCTAGTTTAGCAAATCCTGCAGAAGCCTGTTTGTTTTGGCCTACAAATATAGTCAATTACATGTGAAGTGCTTTGAGATGTTTTGATGTTATGGATGTATTGGTAAATGCAACAATCCTTATTATGTTATACTGAAAAATCTGACTGTTTTCACTGTTAACATATAAAACTAATAGTGACGTAAGGATATGCTGATTGGCCTCTGACTATATTTGTATCAGTGGGAATGAAATAGACACAACATATATGGGTGAATAGATACTTCCTAAATTTATCCTGTTCATGATTAAGATCCACATGTCATTACTTCCTTACTAAATTATCAGAAAATCTATTAAGATTGTTCCTTTTTCTGTGGTACTGAGGGAAAATCATAGAATCAAAGAATTGTGGCTGTG